CCCCCCCCCCCACCCCACTATACATGCTTAGCTACGGCTCTGCTTTCCCTGACGAACTGAAACTCTTTAACAACCATTCCTCTTCTACTTATAAATTGAACCTAAAAAACTACGACTAACCCATAACGCGACATTGGGCCGACATTGATTCATTTGCCGCTCCACTCATGTGCCAGGCCTAACTCAATCCAAAATCGTTTAAAGACTTATTTGTTTCGAATTTTATTTATATAGGATTGGCTCACGAGTGCCTTTATTGATGTGTGTACCGAACTGACTTGTAAAAATGTGTCAAATTCTCAACCGGTTGAAATGTTGGTGTACGGACAGTGACGTTTACCGCAGATGGGTAACTGTTCATTATATATATTTCAAACACTCATTAATAATTCATAAACTTATTGGCAAATCATGTCAACCATAATATGTCACGTGGAGAGACTTTATACTTGATAAAACAAGTGGCATTATATAAATTTTCATCATAATTAGTATGATTATATAATGGTTCATCCTAATTAGTATTCTTTTGTAGTCGTATATTTTAAAGAATGAGTCTCATAATAATGCATTGCGCGCTTGAATGCCTCTGGCGGCCACTTTTGGGTGCACGGAAAATGGCGACGTTCATAGCCAAAAGAGTGTGAGAAATCCGTGCCTATATTCAAGCGATATTTGCGTAATATTTCTTTCTTTTTTCAATTTTCGAACGGCTGTTTTATTACTTCAACTATTGAGGGTTATCTTATTATACTTATTATCATATTAGACGAAAACAATTATCATACTTATTATCATATTATACGGGTCATGGCTTCGCCTCCAAAGCGTGGACGGCCAAAAATGAGATAGGGTTTGTGCGTGTAAAGTTAAAGAAGGACGTTCACGAAATGTGGCTTGAAAGGAAGGAATCTATGGGCTTTTCTTCGAAGACACACAGTGATTTTGACCGACACTTGTTGCTGAATTTTTCTGAAGATCAGCCAAAGCAACAAGTGGAATCTCCAAGCCGTGGTAAGAAGAGCTTATTATTGATATCGACTCAATTATAATTGCTAAATTCCGAATTATATCCAAGTTCAATTAATTTAACACAAGTTTGATCCTTTTTCAGATAAATTCCTACCATTTGTGGCTGCGTCGATACCAATTGGAAAAGGTATACCTGTAAAAATGCCAAATTTATGTCTAACACGAATTGCTGATCAGGGGGACAATATGTAAGTCAAAACAACAAATTAGAGAAAATTAATATTTTGTCTTGGAGTGTTTCACCACGCAGTTTAATATGAATAAACATATATACTTTATAAAATATGGTAGGTAGTCCAAAAATACGTCCTAATTAGAATTTGATTTATATTGATATTGTGTACTTTATTATAGAGCCATGAGTGTTGCATCAACATCAATGCTAGACAAAAGTAGAGTAGAAAGCATTTCAATATCGGTGAACCCAGAATTTTGGATTTTATTAACTGCAACTCAGTATTAAATGTATTATCTTGTAGTAATTTTAACAGTTCATCCAGAAGTACATCAGATAATGAAACAGGTGTTCATTTTTTTGAAGGGTAAGGACAAAAAATCGACTTTAGTTATTACTTGCATTTAATCATTGCATTTATGAATGACAGTAGATATAAGTGCTTGTATGTATATCTGCAGTTCACATAAATCGATATAAGGCAAAGGTTATTTTAGTTATCTCATGACTGATCGAGCAACAATGTGTTGTGAATACACTTTTAGGAAGCAACTCAACAAGTTGTACGGTAATAATATAGTTGATTTGCAGATTTTTTGAAGCTCATTATATTATAGGTTTTTCCTTTCTTTAAGAATTTCTATACTTGATATAAAGTTTGCAAAAGAAAATCATATATTATTACTTATGTAGATTCTCGGATGAGTATGACCCCGAAGAAACAATAAGTGCCACTGAAGATGAAGATGTCGTGGATCGGAAAAAGGGGGAAGAGGATATGGATATCAGCAATGTGGAGGACCCTCCTACAAGTAATGGCCCCATAAAGCCAAACTCACTTGAAGAAAGAAATGAAAGGTTGGCACAAGAAATGAAAAATGCATTTAGTGTGCTAGAACGATTGGGAAACAATAGTGACTTGTTCGGTAAACATTTTAAACGAGATCATGTCATTGTTGATGTGCCATTATTGCTGGAAACATTCAACAATGGCTGCCAGCATCTATCCTGTCCTGGAGCAAGTATAATACAAAATACAAACTGGAACGGTGGTGTTTTAACATTTTCCTGGGAGTGCTCCAAAGGCCATCTTGGATATTGGAGATCCTCCAATGTCCTGTGTCAGAAAAACGGACGTGACGTTTATACCAACTCCTTGTTAATGGCAGCTGGTGTTTTCATTTCCGGAAACAATTTTGACAAGTTGTCTTTATTTAATGACTTTTTTGGACCTGGTTTTATTTCTAAAACCACTTATAACAGGATGCAAACACACTTTGTAATTCCTGAAATTACACGATATTGGGAGCAGATGAAAAATGAGATATGGCATATCCTGTCGGATGAATTTGTCATCTTGTGTGGTAATGGGTGGAATGATTCCCCAGGGCACAGTGCCAAATACTGTATGTATGCAATAATAGAACAACATCTGGACCTGATAGTGGATGTGGAGGTAGTTGACAAGCGTCAAACGAAAGGAATATCCACAAATATGGAAGTCTTTGTACTCAAGACCATTTTAGAAAGAATGGTTGGCAAAATTTTTATTTCTGAAGTGGTCACAGATCCATCAGCTGCCATCATTGCATTGGTTCGTAAGATGAAAGGTAATGAATGCTTAAAATTTTAAGTATAAATATGGATAAGTTTGTTTTCAGGGGGGAGTGATGTTTCTTTTTAACGAATGAGTTTTCGAGGCCTTACACAATCAACAATACAAACATTAAGTTGTCAGCGGAATTACTTTTATGTGTGTGCTGTTTGCGTCATTTCATTTGTTCCTATTGACATGGTCTATTCATCAATTAACTCAGTAATTGTTACGATTCCAATGCAGGCAGTGGCGGTGGAAGAGGGGGCTAGGGGGCTTTAGCCCCCCTGAAGTAAAAGTGGGAACTTAGCCCCTCCCCCCCAAAAAAGTTGTTTTGTTCTGGAAAAATTTTGGTAATCAAAGAAAAATTTAGGGTATTTTTGGAAAATTTAGGAAAAAGGTGAAAAATTTGCAATACTTTGTTTAAAAAATGTATGTCCAGAAAATTTTTTTGTTATATGTCTGGAAAAATGCTTTGTTATATGTCCTTTTTTAATTGCCCTCAAGCCTATTCCTAAGACAAGTGATCTGGTGCAACAATCTCTTTCCCGGTTTATCCCTTGTCTCCCGATCCAGAAGAACAAATTGACGATGACAATGTAGACATGGAATAATATGATGTATATAGCACATTTTGAATAATATAATGTATATATAGCACATTTCGAATAATATGATGCATATCCCATTGAGTCGCATTGCACCCTGATGCGCCCTACTTTATTATTTTACCCTATCTAACGCCATATTATTTTACTCTGTCTAACGCCAGACGATTTTACTCGTCAGGGGAGAGCACTGGCGCTCAGTGGATTAACTGGCCTATCTGCCCATGTGTCTATTTAACCCATTGAGTTGCATTGCACCATGATGCGCTCTACATTATTATTTTACTCTGTCTAACGCCAGACGATTTTACTCGTCAAGGGGAGAGCGCTGGCGCTCAATGGGATATATATAACATACAATACGTTAGAGTCAAGAGCAATTTATGTTCGAATTCCTAATGATCATTTTGATACACATGCACGTGTGGGATATATGACACCACATTTAAATTCCTTTTAATTCACTGAACAATTTAATTAACAAAAAAATACAAATTGGCAAACTATGCCCTCTTAAATCCCATATACACACCATCATTGGCAGGGCATATATGTCTTATTGCCAGGACAACGCATGAAGGGAAAACATTCCTATTTCCTCTTCCTAACTTTTTGTACCGCCAGAGAATGTACTGGCGGTAGGCAGCCTTTCTAAAACTATTATTTGTTGAATAGTCTGGCTCCTCTGCC